AGAGTCTTGCTATGATGGCCGGTCTGGAGTGCAAGTAGCAATTCACAAAGTGCACTTACAGCCTCCAGCTCCTGGGCTAAAGCACTACTTACTCTTTTTTTTTAATTTTAATTTTTTTTTTTTTTTGAGGCAGAATCTCATTTCATTGCCCTAATCTCATTAGGTTGCTGCTAGCTAGGCTGTGGTTGTTAGCCTAGCTAGCAGCAACCTCAAACTCCTTTATTTTTTATTTTTTATTTTTTATTAAGTCATAGCTGTGTACGTTAATATTAACATGGGGTACAATGGGTTGTTCCTATATACAATTTGAAATACTTTCATCCAACTGGTTAACACAGCCTTCATGTCATTTTCTTAGTTGTTGTGTTAAGACATTTATATTCTACATTTAGTAAGATTCACATGTACCCTTATAGGATAAATCCCAAACTCAAGGATCCTCTTGCTGAGCCTCTCAAGTAGCTTGGATTACAGCTGCCTGCCACAATTGCCAGCTAATTTTTTTTCTGTTTTTAGTAAAGATGGGGTCTTGCTCTTGCTCAAGCTGGTCTCAAACTCCTGAGCTCAAGGGATTCTCCCACCTGAGCTTCCCAGAGTGCTAGGATTATAGCTGTGAGCCACTGTGCCCCGGCCTCAATCAATACTCTGGCTAATGCCTCTTTAGTGGCTGAGAGGACAGACATCACTGTACCCGGCTTAACTGTCTTGATCTTGATTACTGCCTGGTTACAATGTGGGCAGTTGTACACCTTTTTGTGTGTATTGCTTGTTTATCTTTATGTGACATTCTTGTTCATACCATTGCTTTTAATTTTCTTCCCACTTTTTATTTTCTTCCCATTCATTTCTGTGAAACCCTTACATCTTAGAAATAGTCTTGAAACTTACATGTGAATAGTCAACATTTTCCCAGATTTTTTAATTATATTTGGTTGGCTAATAGTCAATTTGCTACTTAAGATATTTAAATTAGTAGTTAATCAAATCTCCCTTTAGGTTTTGAATAAATATCACCTTTTAATTTTATAAAATTATTTAAATGTATTTTTATTAACCAAACAGTTCATTAATATCTTCTTTGTTAAAATATGAAAGTATAGCTTAATCTAAAATTATACTTTATCATCCACAGTTATGCTCATTGCTACAGAGATTGTTTTTATTTTATGGAATTTTTTTTAGTATACTTATTTTAAATTTTGATGTAATTAATTGTTAAAATGTTAATGGTTTGTGAATTTTGAGAGCTATTGAGAAGGCCTTTTATATGTAAGGTTATTGCTTCAATATTTTCTTCTAATATATTTATCACTCTTTTTTTTTTAAACTTTAGCATCTTCAGTAACATGATTTTTTTAAATTCATGAAGTAAGGTAGAAAATAAAATCGATTTTATTTTCATGGATAATTCCTCTGGCACTTTGTTCTTGAATTATATATTTTCCTCTGTGACCCAAAATGCTACCCATGTTTCTATAACAGGTAATAAATGCTGTCAATGTTATTGTCAATTGGTCGAGATCTTCATGCAATGCATTTAGTTGTACTCTGTATTTTCCAGGTTATGTCATTAGCTAGGTAAAAGACTATGAATATTTATCAGCAGGTAGATTATTCTTTCTATTACTATTAAATAGCCATCCTTTTCTCTTTTAAAACATGTTTTGTACAAACTATATTTTATTTGATATTATAACTGTTGTAGATCTTTTTCTCCTATAATTTGTGGGGTGTATCTTTACCCATTCTATCTGATCTTTTTCCTGTTGTTTTTAAATGATCTTCTTCAGACAACAGGTGAATGCTTTTTTAAATTAATGTGTGAAGAATTGTATTTTAATATTAAAATGTAACCATCCATAGTTATTGGCATCACTGATGGTTCACACTTATCTCTGCCATATATATTTCCAATTTACCATGCTTTTTTGATACAATCCTATTTATTAATGTTGTTGAATTAATAATGTTCTTTTTCATGGTTTTTACATTATATATTTCTTTACTCGTTTTGTTTTAGTTCTGCCTAATTTTTAATACATACAAATACATATATACACACACACCAACACATATATAGTGTGTGTGTGTAGAGTATGTGTCTATGTATAGTTCTTCAGTGTTTAAAATTAATCAGCATTCATATTTTATCCTATCCTGATTCTCAACAACCATAGCCAGGATTTAAAAAATGAAATAAAGTATCTCACTTCTCCCTTCTCTTTTTTCTTCTTATCTCTAACTTCCAGCCATGTTGAAATTCTTTGGACTTTACTTTCAAGTGTTAATTCTAAAGCCTGTATGTTTATAAAAAGTTTGTAATAAAATATATCTACTCCGTCCTCTGACATTCATTTTTCTTCTGCCTATAACACTTTTCTTAGTTCTTATTTCATAAGTCATCCTTAGAATCCATGTAAACATAAGACTCCAGGCAACCATTACCAATTGATTAGAAATGGCACTTAGCTGAAATTTATTCTCCAATCTTGTTACTTATGTAGTTTTGTACAGTTCAGAGATAATATTCCTAAGAGGCTAGAAAATATCTTGAAGTGTTATATTCCTTGTTTTATCTGCCTTCCTTTCACTTGATTCAGGTATATTATACAATACTGCCCTGTTACTTTTTCAACAATACTATAAGAGGAATATTATTATCCCATCATATGGATTTGAGATTCTAAAAGATTGACGAGCTTCAATTTTCCTTTTAAATTTAACATTTTTTTTGGCCTGTGCCTCTAATACTAGCTTCTTTGCTTTGGGAGTGAAAAAAACGTCTACTGAATTTTATAGTTTTGCAGTTACTCAGGATAACACTTAAAATGTGTAGCTTGATCAAACACTGGGTATTGAATATTCCCGATCCCAAAATCTCTTTTAGTTTGGTTAGCATTCCAAAAATGCCATTTCTGAAAAAAGTCTTCACCTGCAGTTTCTAGATGTCTGTTTAAGTATCAAATATCCGGGGAGATACTGAAAGTCAAAGTTGAGAGCTTGCTGCCTCTTGAGATACCCTGTGATACTTCCTTTTGGGAAAAATTTTTCCTTCAAGTTTCAGTTCTATAAGCTTTCCTTAGGCTTCTGTGCCTTATGAGATATTATAATCATGGTGAAACCAAGAGTTTGGCATTATAAAGAGTCAAATGCTCACAAATTTTCCTTGTTGGACATGGTAATTACCTGGTAGCAGGCAGAAAGGGAGAAGCAGCAGAGCCTGGTGGGCAGATATTCTGAATTGATGTCCTCTGTAACTCTCAGAATATTATGAGGTTCATTCAATCAATATCTAATGAAATCCTATTATTAGTAACCCAGCTACTAATTCAACTTTTTTTTTCAGTAATAAGATAGGATTTTTGTTAGACGTTAGAAAGGAATACAGAAGTAATAAAAAGCATCAGAGCTGGAAGGAGGAAAGAACTAAAAACTCCAACTTTTTTATTTTTGGTAAAATGTACCTCAATATAACATACTTGGCAGTGTTGTTTGGTGGTCAGGCACAGTGTGTCATGGGGGTGGGCAGCTGAAGTGAGAAGACAGAGTCAGGATTATGGAGAAAAGAACCCTTTTGAATTCCTTTATTTAATCACAGAGAAGGCTGGTGAGGGTGGGGGATACTCAGTGTGAGAGAAATGGGAGGCAAATGGCGTCTCTCTCACCCTCCTGATCAGGTGGCCTACAGAAGCAGGGCATTCCACCAACTCTCAGTGCCTCCCTGTGGGATTATGGGCCCTCCTCTCCTTAGTTACCCTCCTGCTCAACTCTGTGCATGTGATTTCCCACAGTATTCAAAGGCGGAAAGGCATCCTGTGACTGCATTGGAGAAAATGATGGAGTCAAGTTTTGTCGGCCCCCAGTCATTCCCTGAGGTCCCTTCTCCTGACAGAGGAAGCCAATCTGTCAAACACCACAGGTACAGGTAGCTAATCATGGTGGGAGTGGGCACAGTCGCACTGGGTACATGCTGGACAGCCCCAGCCAAGGAATGGCACTGTTACTGGGGAGAGATGATTGCCCTTGCTTATCCTGTAGTTCTGCACAGAGTACATGCCAAGCAGCTCTCAACAGTTAAAGCAAAGGTAACCAGCTTCCCCAGCAGGCAGCATTGCTCCCGTAAGAATTCCTCACCATACCTGTCAAAGCTATACAGACTCAGACCAGTGAAAGAAACAATTGCATTCTGAACAACTATTAAAACCATTTTTTTTTCCTAGCTTGTTTTTCCTAGTATGCAAAGTTAATGACTTCCCTAGGCACTCTGTGTCATGGGTTCCAGGTCTTCCATCATGGTTTGCAAAAAAGAAAACTTCCCAGGGAGAAGAAGCCTGGAGAGTCTCCTTGGGTCTGTAAGATCTTTTGTTATTAATGGTCTGGTACTTTCTTGTAAGCTGATCCCACAAATTGGCTCTTGCAAGGAGAAAGCCAAAAAATTATGTTATTTGATACGTTTCATAACCTTAAAGCTGAACAGGTCCTTCTGCATCTTCGGGTCCACACTTGTGTTTTTATTCTTGAGGAATGTGAGGCTCCCAGATGGAAGGTATTTGTTCTAAATCAAATGGTGAAGTTTAGCACTAATGCTATAAGAGCCAATGTGTTTATGTGGGTCCAAATATATATCCTCAAGCTTTATAGAAGTTATCCAGAGATTTAAGCCTCCTTTTCTTAAATACAGTATTTTTAAATTTAATATATATATATATGATAAAAATTTAAAAAGGAAAAGGTAAATAATGACTGTTATTCCTAAACAGTGAAAAATAAATATTGTTGACTGTTGGCTTCACATACTGGGCAATGCTTTGCAAACCACCGTGCCAAAGCCTACAGCATAAGAAGCTCCCTCTCTCTTGCCTCTTAATGAGTCATGAGGAAAGGATTTTGTTGCTCCTGGCCTCCTTGACTTTGAGACTCGGGGTCATTCTTGACACTAATCCTCAGCCCTTGATGGTGATTTTTATTCTTATTCTACATGCGAAGAGACTAAGATATGAAGGGTTTGCCAATTTTAAAAAATGTTTTAAGTATCTTGGGATCGAAATATGTTTGGCTTTTGGATAATATATTTTTATATATTTTTTGTATATTTTTATATTTTTTATATACTTACTGCACGTTTTGATTTATATCAATTGTTGCATTTATGGAATTTTTCTCTGTGAAAAGCACATTTCATTGCTCTGGACCTAATGGAAGTTGTCTTAATTAGGGAAATAAGTCCAAAATTACAAGCCTTTTAAATGACACATATTTCCTCCCAAATGGTATTTTGCCCCTGCTTATTATAACATGTGTTAAAGTAGTATTCCACCTAGTCAAGTAAAATCATTCAATATAATATTGCTCTAGTTCTATATTATGCTGTAAATGTTTTAGAGTTGAGATTTTAAAAAGTTATAGCTTCTAATATGTTTGAGCTGCAAAAAACTCTGTTCCCAGTTCTTCTCTGTTTATATGCTTCCTCCTCTCCTAAACTTGACTTCCAGGATGCTTTCCAGGGGCTACTCACAAATTAAACAAGGATGTCTTTAAGAGACCTTCCTTTTTGTTTGGTTCAATGACATTGCAGTTGGCATGCACTGTGCCCTGCTACATAGACAAATGTTGACTTATAATGTGCTTTCAGAACTTTGTAAATTATAGCTTAATATATAATAGCTTTTGTTTTGTAAAACATGCAATAGACTTAAACGTTTGCATGACTGATAACCCAGGCACTGATTTATACATCCTGCAGCCTTCACCATAACTTTCTGAATGACATTGAGTTAGAAGGCCTGAATCGTTGATTGATCAATAGGCATAGAGCTATTTTTTTTTAAGACAGGTCACTAGTTCATGCTGATAGGTTTCATTGTTTTGACAGTTTAGCAAGCTACGAATTGCTAATTTCTTTGTGTACATTCAAAATATGACTCATTTGGATAACTCAGTTGTGAAACAAAGCTATTAATTCAAAGCCGTTATTTCTGAGGTTTAGTTTAGAAAAATCCTCCATCTGCTTAAAAAATAAATCTATTATGGAATGTCATATTTATTGCATTATATTTTGACAATATAACTCATTTATTAAAAGTACATATGTAGGCTTTTTTTTTTCTATACAGTGAAATAAGTCCAAGGTCTAGAATCATCCTTGGAAGTGTCAACTGTAGCAGAATTCATCGTGCTGAGCACCTGCTAGGCTCAATATTTTGTGTCCTTTTTCTCTTTTAAAATAACTACCACAGCACTTCTACAAAAATTCTGAAGTATGATGTTAACATCTTCCTTCTGCCACTCCCTCCCTGCCCTAACGTCTAGTCTCTACCTTTTCTTGCTTTGCCCTGTGAAACTGGAGGGCTGCAGACTTCCTTGTCCTCTGGTGTCTGTTGGTTCATAACGAGGCACAGACAAGAGCTGGGAGGGCAGAAGGAGAATGAGGTCCTGGCATTTCTGCCCTCTCTCTCCCTGCTTGGTGCTTCAGTTGAGTTCAGCTGCCCAGGACCATCGAGCCTGTCACATGGTCTTGTCATGACAACTTGCTTTCTCTCTCCATTCTGGTACCTGCTCCCTTTCCTTGTTCTTTCAGTCAAAGTGATGAGAATAGCTTCCTCTTGTTACTAGCCCTGAGGTATAGTAAGTAGTATCCCTCTCTTTTTTCCTCTCAAACATTGAATCAACTTTTGTAAATAGTCAAATCTCCTGAACTGATCCAATTTAAAGCACCACCTATCTCCCTTCAGGACTCTGACTGGTACAAGCACCTCCCCTAGTATCACGCTTCTGAGACTTAACACCCAGGTGCACCTAACTCCAGCAGCCAAGTCTCCATAAATTGCAGACTCCACCATTGCCATTGGATGGTAGATTAAAGTAGGGAGAAAGGGAAACAGTTATTAGAGCTCATTATACTTGTTGACTTAGTGACCTAGCTGTTAGGCATTTTGGGACAAGGCATGCAAGACATAATCATGATAATGAATGAGGGTGTAATGATGCCAGATGTCATTCTATGTTGGTGCAAATTCAGGAACTTAACATTGACCTGAAGGACATGAAGTTTGATCAACCACATTGCCAAAACCAGGAAAGTGGCCAATAGAACTCAAATGTCAGATTCTCAAACTCTGACCTTATATAATGTTTACAAAGTTTTGTCTTGTATTTATTAAGTAGAAGTAACATAAATATTGATGAGAGAAGAGTGACAGAACTCCAAATAATATCACGATACAAGGAAAAGTTCGTTGGGAGACTGGGCCTTTTAGAACTTGAAAGATTTCTTGGAAGACTTAAAATATCTTTTTCTATAACGTTGTACTTTCATTTCCTAGTTAAATTAGAATGTAGCACAAAACTCCCAGTCTGTTTATTATGTGAACACTGCAGAACTAGGTTGGCCACATAATCTGGTACCTCATTGAATGTCTACTCATGACCTCAGTTCTCCTCATCAGTCTGGAGTAGAGTAAATTCACTGAGGTGGAGATGAGAATGGGTGTGGAATAGATACTGAGTCAAGTTACCAATTAAATTTATAGTACAAAACAGTTCTTTTCTGTATATAATTTCAGTAGGAATTCTCACTCTGTCAAAGCCCATGGTAAAACCCATTCACATCTTTTGCCCTTGGATAATCTCTATAAATATATGGGTATTTGAATATTTGGAAATATGACTCAAATAAAATATACAATCTGATGTTTATTAAGAGTTAACTCCAAGGAAAAGTAGTTTCTCAAAATTCATAAAAATCTGGAGAAGTGAACTGAGACTTTAACCCATATGTTAAGGAGAGAATGCCAATTAAAATGAGGTTTGTTTATTCTATCACTAGCAAGTAAAAATTTCTCCAAATATCCCTCCTGGGCTTCCTGTGTTTTGGTGTCTACTAAGAAGGCCATTTTCATTTCTATTAAAGATAGCTACCATGGCATGGATAATCAGTGTGGTGAATCTATAGTGTGAGCATGCCTTAAGCCCACCTGTTACCTGTGGAAAGCTGCAAATGATTTTCATCGTTTGTGCTCTACACTGAAAAGACAGAAACCCAGGAGTTTCTCTATGTCTTGGTGTCTCCAAGAATAAAAGAGTTGGGTAACTCCTGCCTCTTTCTGGGCACACACACTGCACTCAGGGATGGCTCCTGGCCCAAGGGAAGCAAATACAGTGTTTGTGAAGTTCGAGCAGTTACCTGTGAGTTTTTTGCTTTGATCTCTCTCTTTCTCTCTTCATTTTTTATTTTTTATTTTTTTGGTCATCTCAGCAGGAGTCTCTCCTCTTGCTGTAGCCCAGGGCAAAGGAGTGGAATGCTCCATAGGAATGCCTTCAGAAGGACACCCCCCTCACCTCGAAGTAGGCTGGGTGGAATTGTGGGACCAGCATATCAGCAACTCGAAGAATCAAGGATCCCAGACCAGGATACGATACCTTGCCAAGGGTAGGTCTTCAAAGCGATGTAATTAAGGGAGGGTGTCTTTAATGTCAGAGCTTTATATTAAGTTGTCAAGTTTTAGGGGGTTTATTCACTGACTTCCTTATTAATTGTTTATGCTTACTACCATCTTTCTTCCTCAAAAGGTGAATCACCTTGAAAGAAGAGCTATGATGGATATTGGTACTTGGGAAATGTTACAGTGAAAAGGAAGAATAACACTAGGAAGAAAATAAATGTAGACATAGAGGCAATGTGTTACTATGACATTGCTAAAACAATTAGGAATTTGCCTCTGATTAAATGAAATAATAACAATAATACGTGTGTATTAGGAAGACTGGAGTGTTCCTTTATCTGTAGGTCAGAAAAATGACTGAATTCTCTGATTAGCATCATGGGCAATATCCTGAATACTAATCTGTAACACACAGACACACACACACACACACACACACACACACACAATCTGCCTCCACTGAACTTGAATGTGGGATGTAGGTCAATGGTGAGAGAGTAGTGTCACAACATCACTTACTGAATTCATATCTATAAGTTGCTCAGAGTACAGCAAAAAAGGGTGGCTTGGCACACCATGGCTGTTGCTCCATATGGTGCAAAAGTCATACCTGCCTTTCATGGAGACAGCCCTGCACAGGGTGAATTTCAGCCACCATTCACATAGCTGGCATAAACTGCCCAAACAAACATGGCAGTCTGCGTTTAAACTTACTTAGAGTGACTGGGAGTTCACATTCTATCTCTGTCCCTTACTACTCATCTAAGTTAGAGAAAATGTTATCAGGAGCTTAAGTTTTCTCATTTATGAATCCCTCTGGAGGATTTGGAGGAAGATTTTAAAAAGTTGTATGTATAGAGAGCTTTTACTTGACACCAAGTAAGCAGAGAAGTAGTGCCAGTAGCTTTTGTCACAGTCATTGTCATGATGTCATCATTAATTTCAAGAGCAAAGCAAACAGGGTTTACTCCAGAAATTTCAGGAATCAGTCTTCACTCGAGCTGGGTTCTTGTTGCTAGAATTTTTCCCTCTTTGAATGAAGCAAGCCAGGTTTCTATGCTGCTTTGGCCTGAGTGGTTTTCCCATATTGTCTATATTAAGCTGAAGACCAAAACAGATGGGAGGTCTAGCATGGCGCCTTCCTTACTTTGCTCTTTTCTGGGCATGAGATGCACGGAAGCTGCCCTAACAAAGCTCAGCAACAGATTTCTTTAGGAAGACAAGAAGATAGGAAATATGTACATGAGTGGCCTGAGGCTACGTTTTGTAATTTTGAAGAAATTCCAAGTGGACTGTAAAAGGCATTTGGTATAGTGTGAGGGTGACAGTTGCAAATTCAACACAACAGGCAAGTTGTCCAAAATGTATAATTCAAATCAAGAAGCAGTTTGCATGCCTCTTGGTCTTATCTCTGGGAAAAGGGTTTGCATTTAGCTTAAAACTATAACAAATCGGCTCGGCGCCTGTGGTTCAAGTGGCTAAGGTACCAGCCACATACACCTAAGGTGGTGAGTTGGAATCCAGCCATGCCCACCAAACAACAATGATGGCTGCAACCAAAAAGTAGCCGGGCGTTGTGGCAGATACCTGTGGTCCCAGCTACTTGGGAGGCTGAGGCAGGAGACTCCCTTGAGCCCAGGAGTTGGAGGTTGCTGTGAGCTGTGATGCCACAGCACTCTACCCAGTGGAACAGCTTGAGGCTTTTTCCAAAAAAAAAAAAAAAATTACAACAAATCTTGTTTTATACTGAATTTTATTTATAAATCACTAATGAGATCTCTTAGGAGTCTGACACTCTCTCTCCCCTCCTCCCTTTTCTATCTATCTGTTTATCTACCTATCTATCCATCCATCCATCTACGCATACACACATACATATATAAAACTCCCAGGGTGATGTTAGGAGGAGAATGAATAGTGAAGGAAAATCAACTTCAGAGATTTAGTGAATGCACAGAACATCCAGCCCATGCCATGGTAGCTCTGTGGGGCACTGTTATGGCTTCATTCCGTGTGCTCTGGGTATAAGGATGCTCTGAGCCAGTGGCTGACTTAGACATCTTTGGGGGCTCTGCTATCTCATTGAATGTTGAGGCAATTCTTCTTTAAAAAAAAAAAAAAAAAACTTCTGGGATACTCACACTTATTGTCTGTGTGGTCATGGATTTGTTTTGGTTCAATCACCATTGGGTTGGGAATATTCCCTCCAGCTGGCTGGTACACATAGTTACTTTCCTGTGTGTGATATGCACCCGTTATTGATAAATGGCAACTCTAAGGATAAGTCACTATGTGCTCAGCACAATGAATCTCAGGGAGCAATCTCATTCTCAGTTTTGGAAAACAGCTATTTTCCACTCCCAGGAGACTGACTGTCTCTGTGGACTGGAAATCGGATTGGTAATAGCATTTCATAACTAAAGGCCCTCTTCAAATTTGGCCCTAGCTCAGGGGTGGGGGTCATGAATTTGTAAGAGGCACCTGCTATCTGCTGCTCATTTACCAAGCATGTGGGCACTGTCCGCTGCACTTAGACTCCCCGTAGTGGGGCTTCTCTCCTTGGCATGTACTTCAGCCCAGCTTGAATCCAGCCCCTGTCTTGGTGTAGCTTGGGGAAGGAGTGAGGTAAAGAGGAGATTCTTGAGGACCTTCGTTGACTGGAGCCCTGGTAATGGCTCAGAGAATTACTGAACTACTTTGTGTCAGACAAATCAAACTAATGTTTTCATATGCTAGAAAGAAAGACATGGAAGCACAAAAGTTAGATTCACATTTTAAAAGTGGACAGGATGCAAAATATATCAAGTCCCTACCACACCGGTCTAGTAATTTTATGTATTTCACTAAAGTTATTTAGAAATGTTATAGATGATGAATACACTAAAATAGCAGAGTTTAAATGACTAGCCCATGATGGTACAGAGGAAAAGAGTTGAAATTGAACACATGTATGGCCTTTCTGTTTCTTGTATAAACACCCAAACCAGGAAAGGGATGTGAAGGAAATCACACTGGTGGCTGATGTTTTGTAAACAGAATATCTAATTGTATGGCTTCAGGAGGAAACGTGATTCCTTCAATGTAGTCTGATCATTCATTGCTAAATGCTCTAGGAACTGAGTCTTGGCAAAGAAAAATGAATTCCTTAGCCTGACCCCTGAGTTACTAGGACCCAAACCAAAGTGATTAATTTTTGGAAATTAGTCTTTCCTTTATAAAAGGGTGCATTGACTCACAGTGATAGACAAAATGCACTTGTGATTTCTTTGTTGAGGGATGAGAGGAAAGGCAGTCCATTGGAATGGTGAACTCCTACGTGGAAGCAACTTGTGAAAGAGTCACTGACTCTCAAGGGATACGGAACTTTGAATGTCTGCTAACTCAGAATCACATCTACATTTAGCGCCCACTTAACGTGCTGCTGGAATACCAGAGACGGGACACGCACAGCAACTCTGGGGAGGAAGTGAGGATTACCACTGTGCTTGTGATAGAACAGGGTAGAGGCATCATTTCAATTAGTCCTCAGAGAAATCCCTCCTCCCCAGACGGTAATTAAATATCACTGCCTGATTGTTGAGGAAACTCAAAGAGGCTGCCATTTAGCTGATATTTCAAAGCATGTAATGGTGTGAGGACTTGAAATCATATTTGATTCAAGGCAAAAATCTCATATTCTTATTGTTTAAAGCCCACTTATGTTATGGCAACATTTTAGATTTCAGTTATTGTCAAACATGTATTAAATACTTGGCTTGGGAAATGACCTCCAATAGTCAATTGCAATTTCTCTTTGTCCTCAAGGTCCTTAATTCTGCATTCATTTTAGAAGAATGCTCAAAGCCATACTGGTACGATTTACCTTTGGTAATGTCTCAGCCATGCCACTTTGTTGACTTGTGGGGTTTACAATTTGAACATGTCCTTAATATATTTGACCCTTTATCCACCATTTTTACGAATAGTGTTTAGGTCCAGGCATTATGATATGATTATCATATTTTGAGGTATAAGATTCTACCTGCTGATATACCCAATGATATGGGTTATGAACTATGATTTAATCTGGGCCATATGTCTTGGCTCTCTTCCATGGGTGGATTGGGCAGGCAGACTTTCTACATCCTCATACAGACTAATCATGGGAGCAGGACAGTGCTGAGGACAAAACAAAGAAGCTGAAATTTCTCCCCTTTCTTCAAAATCGATTCATCAGTCAAAACCTGTAGGTTCAGATTTTCAGTTATATAACATGAAAATGAAAGGAGTAAGATCCCCTGTGAATTTTCAAACACCTGGCCACACAGTTTGTTTTGGTAAGGATTCTACACATATATCTCCCCCCCCCCAAAAAAAAAAAGTTCTGTTTCACTTTAGGGTATCCTTTCATTAGTACCCTCTGAGTTTGACAGTAACTAGCATAGGACAACTTGGGTACAAATTCTTCCTCTGTCGCTTACTAAAGGTATCACTGGGGGCAAGTCTGAGTGCTTCTTAGTCTGGTTTACTCATCCTTTGCATGGTGATAATAAGAAATAAACCACAGGTTTTTTAAAAATAAAATCAAGTAATTAGAGGTGAAAATGATTTCTAAAAGCACTATGCAGATGTTAGCTGTTGTTATTATGTTTGAAAATGGATATTAATTGGGAAATAAAGGGAGCATTTGCCTTGAGGATGTGTTTATGTTTTGGGGGGTTCATTCAATCAAAATTTATTTATTGCCAACTCTGTATTAGGCACAGTGAAAGCAGGAAAATGACAGAAATCTAAGTCTGTTCCATGTCTTTGATCACTGTCTGGTGGAAAGACAGACCTCTAAAGTGTTTCCATCATATCCCTGGAATGCAAACTTCTGTCTATTTAATATGCAAGACACTTCATTGTGATTATTATCTGCATGTATAAACACGATTTTTAGTTACTCTATAATGTAAGTCAAAGAAATGAGATTCATTATGTGGTGGGTTAATATGTTTAAATTGCGTGGAAATGATAATGTTTAATTTAGTGTTTAAATAAAGAAAAAAATAATGGAGAAAATAGAATTTTAAAACTATCAACCAAGTTCCAAAAACGTATTTCCAGTTTTCACTGGAAAACTCCAAGAAAGATTACTAGCTATGAACAGGCAAGACAGATGCTGGGCCAGGTTTTGGCCCCCTGACCTTATATGCAGAGGCACCTTGGTATACTTGACAAGACCTTGTCATGGGCTGGTGGAGCCTACTTTGTTGGCTTCAGAGACTAAATGCAGAAAGCTGCTACTGATAGAGGCCCTGGGAACCCACTTCATACTCTTTCCTGGGCAGGCAAAGGAATTGTATACCTCCCCTACCCATCTTCAGGCTCAACCATCTGGCAAATAGGCAGTCCCTGTAGAGCTGATTGCCAATGGGAATTGGATTCGGATCCCCTAAAATCAGCATGAAGCAAAATTTCAGGACTTTGCACCCTGATGCTCAATGTCGGGTTTCAGCTAGGTTGGCCACAAGTCTACCGGACTAACCCCGGGCTGAGAGGGTGGTTGAGTTGATGGAGTAGTGTGACGCCGTTATGGGTTTCCTGTGTGTCGCTACGGAAAGGCCACACTTACCTGCTCAATCCCCATTTACTTTGTATTCTAGGATAGAGGTCAGGAAGACTATATCCCACCTGCCTATACAGCTGTGGTGTGTTGAAAGACCCCTGGACTTAAAGTAAGAAGATCTGGGTTTGAGTCTCAGTCTGTCACTTATTTTCTGTGTGACCTTGGGCAAGTCACTTCACCTATCTGAGCTTCAGTTTACTTCTCTGTTTAACTGGGAACATAGTATGCGTCTCATGGGGTTGCTGTGAGAATTCAGTGAGGTGGTGCATGTGGAAAGTGCTTTGTGGATTGAATCTTGCTGGAACCAAGCACGGCGGAAAGCAGCCTGGATAACACTATGTTTCTTTTGCAGGTATTCATCTAATGGTTTGAAAACCCAACAAAATGCATCAATAAATATGCAACTGCCTTCAAGAGAGACAAACCCCTATTTTAATAGCTTGGAGCAAAAGGACCTGGTGGGCTATTCATCCACAAGGGCCAGTTCTGTGCCCATCATCCCTTCAGTGGGTCTTGAGGAAACCTGCATGCAAATGCCAGGGATTTCTGAAGTCAAAAGCATCAAATGGTGCAAAAACACCTACTCAGCTGACATGGTCAACGTGAGTATTCCCGTCAGCGATTGTCTTATAGCAGAACAGCAAGAAGTGAAAATATTGCTAGAAACTGTCCAGGAGCAGATCCGAATTCTGACTGATGCCAGGAGGTCAGAAGACTACGAACTGGCCAGCGTAGAGACCGAGGACAGTGCGAGTGAAAACACAGCCTTTCTCCCCCTGAGTCCCACGGCCAAATCAGAACGAGAGGCACAATTTGTCTTAAGGAATGAAATACAAAGAGACTCTGCACTGACCAAGTGACTTGAGATGTAGGAATCTGTGCATTCTAGGCTTTGCTCAACAGGAAAGAAAGGAAATTAAATACAAATTATTTATATGCATTAATTTAAGAGCATCTACTTAGAAGAAACCAAATAGTCTATCGCCCTCATATCATAGTGTTTTTTAACAAAATATTTTTTTAAAGGGAAAGAAATGTTTCAGGAGGGATAAAGCTTACCACTGAAGCTTTTGGGTAGAATTCCGAATCCAATTTCAGTTAGTCCCAACGCTGCCCTCTTTGGCTCTTAGAAGATGTGGGTGATTCGGAACCTTGGTCCCACAGTGCCAGTGTCCTCATTAAAACATACTGGCGGTTACCTGGTTTCAAAGAGACAAGAGCTGTCTTAGGAGGGCAGACGCGCCAGTGAGCAAGTGGCCCTTGCCATTCGGCGTGTGAGTCCCAACCCTAAATTTCTATTCACCCAATAGCCTCATCACAGGTTATGTCATGTCAACAAATGTGGTGTTTTCTATTTGATTTTTTAAGAATGGCACAAAGACTCTGGAGCAGAAAGGAGGATAAAAGCAGAGGGAGTGATCGGGGGCAACCTGAACTACTCTTGTGTGTCATCGTCCTCTGAAATCTGAAAGCGCAGAATCTCAGAGGAAGATAGGAAAATATTACAGAAAAAGAGACAAAAAAAAATCACAGTGTCATGTCACTAAAATCCTACTAATAGAAATGTTTTTCCTCGAGATTTAGAGGCTCTGAAGGAGCGTTTCTCAGTTTGTGTGTGCCTGTGTGTACATGTGTGTGCGAGTGTGCGTGCGTGAGGGCTTGCTCACTCGAGCACATATGCTGTATGCACATGTGTTCATTGTGTGTGCGTGTGTGTGTGCATGTGTGTGTGTATTAAGCTTGCTAAACTTTGTTCGGAAACATCAAGGAATCTAATATTAAAAAAAATTCCCTCTTAGGTATCTGTTCACTTTAAATTTTTCCACTAAGTATGAAGTTCAGTTAGTAAGTTTAAAATCAAGGTCACGTGCATGGTGGGGTCCTCTAAAACTCTCGATAATGTCTAGATCATTTTCTGATGTGAGTACTTTGGAGAGGGATAGCTATCGGCTCTTTAATGAGATTCGGTAGCACATGGGAAGTTAATTGAGGATGTGTGTTAATTTTGAATCATGCCTACTTAAATTATTTACACAAGGCAATTAACAAATTGACAGTTACCATTTGCTTTCTCATCATCCTCATTACTATTTATTTAATAGCAAGTCTGCTACGTGTGGACCAAGGCATTGGCTTCTGTAGTTAATATGGAAAGAATAAATTTGTTGAAATCACAAAGCCCAGACTATTCAGTTCACAAGAAGCCCCCCACCCCCCAAAGAACAGTAAATTGTGTTGTATGTTCATTTGGAATAAAGCAATATTTTTACCACTGCTAAGGTGAACTGAAACCTCTCCTGAAGATTCGTCTGTTTATTTACCCTCACTTTCATGGGGCGTACAAGGAAATTAGTGTTCACATACCCAGTCTTCTTCCAATTATTGGTGGTGTTGAGTTGTTATGTTTACACTGTTTTAAATAAAAAGGCACAGTATTTGAAAGTATATAAAAGATTTCTCTTACTGCATTTTGGGGAAACCTTGGTTTACATTTCTTTGTGGAAGACTCGACATTCCATGGGAAGAGAATGTAACTATTTCTGAATCAAGCAGTGAATATAGACAATGCTTATTTCAGGTCAAGTTTTTTTTCTGTTGAAAGTACATTGAAAAGTGCTCTTTGAGAACCTTTTACTAATAGACAGAATGCCATCCAGAGACAAGAAAAATACTATGTTTTTATGAGAACTACTTATTAGAAATTCAAGGTCTCAAATGTGAAAACAACTACAGTAGAAATAACAAAACATTTGTGTGACATTTGGTATTTGCCCCAACATAGTTGTGTTGTTTTTAATATAGAGGAAATATGGTTTGAATTTGAAAAGATTATTTTAAGTTTTTGATGTCTAGATCATCTAAGTTCTCATTTAAAAATATTTTACCTTTGGCAAAGTTTTAGAAAGATGGTCTTAATGGACAGATATGTAAGAACCAATACATTATTGTGTTGAAATCTATCAGAATCACAAAACAAGGAGGAGGCTTTGCAAGTCTATTGAAGTCAACTTTATCCTTTTTTTTTTTTTTAGATTAAGATGTTAGCTGTTGTATATTTAAAAAATCTATTCAGAATTCACCATGAGGAGGGTGTATGTTCTGTGACTCACTGTAGTTATTTTTAATATATTATTTACACTGAAAACATCAAGCTTGACGATGAAATTTAAGTCTTGATCTAACACTTTATTTTTCAAAAACTGAAGTACAACCACATATTATGTAATTATTAACCTCACCTCCCTGTGTATTCTGAAAGGCATGAATTGAAAATCAGGCATATCCACTGGAAGTCTTAAATAAAGTTTCGAGATATAGTTACTTGCATAATTAAAAGTCAAGACAAAGTCCTCCATACAGAGCAAATATTAATGGTTACTTTCAATGGTCATTTGTCTCCTTTGGAATATGATGCTTTCCTGTGCAAAGTGTCCACACTCAAAATGCACCTCCTTGGGCACCAGGCTGCTAAGTGCTGATGACATCAAGACATTCAAAGTTAGTCTAACGTGACAAACACCCACAGCCATCATCAGTACTTTGTCCTTCAAGCTCACGTGCCTTTCAGGAAGGGCTTATTTCTACAAGGCATCTTTGATTTTTGCTTTATTTTTCTTGTCTTTATTATGCAAATAGATATTTGGGAATTTGTAATTAAATCGACTACATATTATTTATGGGCAAATGAATGCTAACATTATTTTTTACTTTAAATCATTTTCTGATTTTATGAAGCATATGTTATTTCTAATTTACCAGTGACTACCGTGGAATGCTATTGTTCAAAACATGTGACCAATCTTATGGTGATCAGAAAAAATAGAAATGATGTTGGAAAATGAGCATCACAATTTTCTTCCTGGATTCTCTCTCTACACGAAGTGCTCTGTGTTCTTTACACTCTGGTCCCATATCTACCTTGCTATGGATTAAGGACTCAATATTTGTAAATGTACCCATAATTTCCATTCTTTCTAAGTAGCAATAGCGAGGTCCCCTAGAGGAGGAAAAGTGCTATGTATAGGACTTCACAAATTAATGTGTTTTGATGATAGTAACATATCAGACCTACCAAAAAGAGAACAGAAGGGCCAGCAGACTTCAAGAGAATGTCCATGGGCTTATGGATCTAATGAGAGCTACAATTTAGGTGGGTCTTCTGGTGCCCATGGCTAATGCTGTTGGTGGCCAGGTCACCACCAGAATATGATGTGCATGAACAGTTCACACCCATCCTCCCATACGGTGCTATGGAAAACCATGACTCCCTGACGTGTGTGTGTGTGTGTGTGTGTGTGTGTTTATATGTGTGTATTGGGATGGGAGGAATGGTGGTCCCTGTGATTCCAGCCCTGTAAACCAGAACATATTACACTGAGACAGTGCTGTGAGACATTTCTCAAATAAGTACGTGTCGAATAAGCTTAGGGACACAGCAGGAGGGGTGGGATTTTTATTTGACCTTTTGGTACTTGGGAGACATTTTATATATTCAGAATACTTTTTTATTATTCCTCAATTGTAATAGATTCCGTGTTTTCAATGGATAGCATGTCTATACTGTGTTTGTACTCTTGTCTTTAGAAATGCAATATCCATCTAGGCAAAACCAGCACAAGTTTTCTGGGCTATTCTCCAGTTTAAATGCATCCCAACATGCCCTGGGAAATGAAGTCTTGAAATAAGCTTTATGTCTTCTTTCATTCATTTTTCCCTTTTAAAGAAATAATGAGAGTAAAGGAAGCAAATCACTCTTCAAGATCCACATTCTTCTCTTATATTGATCTGGTTTCTCCTGTGACCACCTGCACATATACACACACACAAACACACATATAGGTATGTTACATTTTGGGTGTCTGACTATTTGGGTAGCTTTGTTTCTGCTTAATTTGGCAAGTATCAGAATGATTGACTCATGGCACACCAATGAAATCAAAGCATTTAGAGACAAGCCAACTAGGCGACATTTTGATCATACAAGCATTTTCAGTTCCTTTTCTGTCTTCATCAGGCAGAAATAGCTTTGGTTAGAAGCACCACAAGATCCTAGAATAAAACCTCTGCTAGATTATCTCTCGGAAATGAAAATGTAAATGATTATTGTCCCTATAGTGTATGATGGTCTCCACTGTGCTTTTTATAAATTTAACTGTAACTTCTCCCAAAGGTACTTAAACAGGTACCCTTGACTTCTTGTGCCCATTGAACTCTAGTAATAACTGAGTTGTGTGTGTGCGTGTGTGTGGTTAAGGGATTACTAAGTGTTAATGCTGGATATCCTAGTGAAGATAATCGCAGGAGGGACAGGCATAATCTTGATAAAAATAGAGAACAGGTTTCTAGCACTTTCATAATTTTTGTCACAAATACCTGTATTAATTACACATGTATTGTTGCCTACAAACATACTCACTGTGTGATCGCAAACTATCTTATTGTTGGAAATGAACTAGAAAATCTTTATATTGAAAGTTGTCCTTGTGAAACTTCTAACATATCTGTGCATAAGAGTATCTTCATGACCTTATCTGTTAAATAAGGTGGGTGATTTGGTTCATCTATGATTTCCTCTGCAAATGAGTATCTTGTTACCCAGTTATCATAACTCAGGCTTTACCTGGTCACTTGTCATTCAGTCGCTTCAGCACAGCTCTTTATAAAGTTCACGGCTGTACATCCATCTCAGTAAGACTCAAAAATAGTTGGAAGCTGTGTGTCAATCTGTGAACTAGGTTTACATTTATAATGGTACACTTAGTTTCCATGGAGAAATAGGCAGGATTTTTTTGTGGCTTTTTTTAAACCGAGTTTACCTAGGACAGGTAGTAAGAAGAGAAGGCTAAGAAAATATCCAATTCCAAAGCTTGAGAGGCAAAGGTCAAAATTTGCCCCCTCATTTTACTTTTTAAGAAATGGTGATTTATTCAAGACAGAATAAGGGGATCTAAAGAGAAAGCATGAGGCCTCGAGACATTCTCCTCTTCCAAAGGCAGCAGACACACCTCACTAGATGTAAATAAATGCATTTAATAATAATTCTTAATTATTTGCATCTTGACCTTTTTTTTTATTAATCGACCTTTTTTAAATATAAACTCTCCAACTAATAATGAATTATTTCTCCAGAGACAGTTTCAAATTTTGGTTGAAAATAAGTCTATTTGGAGGACCCTATTGACAAAAAATTGCAGGATTACCTTGCTTATTTAATTTTGGGAGTAATTTCTGTTTTTGATAAATCATTATCTATGTGCTTTTCAAAAAGCATTCTGACTAGCACTAATATTTCCATACATAACTCGTCTTGGTCAAGATCCCAAAGTCTGAATTTCTAGTCTTTGACAAAACCATGTGAAATGTTAAAATACTTGAAACAAAGACAATGAATTGAAGTTGTGTTGTGTTTTTAAAATTATAAGGAGTCTGTGTAGTAATTTACCAAACTAAATTAGGAAAGAAACACTTCTTTTTTTTTTAATAGTTTATGGTGTATTTAGAAGTGTGATTAACTACTCGTACAACCATGTTAGACTCAACATTGATGCTGTCTTTTCTGAAATAAATTTAAATTTCAGGGATTTAAAACTGACACACATACACTGCACACACACTCTCTCTCACAGGGCTATAATATACATGATGTATTCAAACTCAATGACATGAAAGACTTTGGATTCAAATATCTTTCATAGATAATACATGTAGTAAGAAGTATAGTGGTAATTGTTTAAGGTTTATTCTTCAAAGTTTGTGTTTATCAATAGATGCCTGCAGAATAGACACATTTGTTCAAACTCGTAAAACTCAAAGAGCATTTAAGAATGCAACTTAAAAATAAGCACACATGGCGTATTTCAAAGATAATTAGAGGGAAATGCTTTGGTTCTCACTTTTTAGGTCATTTTACATGTTAAATTTAAATCATAAATGAATTCTCTAGTTCTTAATAATTGATGCAATTTAGACCAGGTGCTATGGCCCATTTCTGTCATCTGGGACACTTGGAAGGCTAAAGCAGGAGGAATGCTTGAGGCTAGGACTTTAAGATCATCCTGAGCAATGTAGTGAGATCCTATTTCTATAAAATATAATTAAAAAATGAAATTAGGCAGGTGTGGTGACATGGGCTTGTAATCCCAGATACTCAGAAAGCTGAGGTGGAAAGGATCATTTGCGCCCAGAAGTTCAAGGTTGCCGTGAGCTGTCATTGTACTGTTACCCTCCATCCTGGGTGACAGAGTGAGATCCTATCTCCAAAAATGAAAAATTAAGTAAGAATAATAATTAGCATATCTTATTAATCCATTTGATCATATTTTAAATAATGAATGTACATCACACATAGAAGAATGCATGAAAAATGGCCAGAAGATTGTTAATTGTCATTTAAAAAGTTACAGGATAAAAATCTCTCAAGACTGTGGTAAAAAAAAAAATTATTTA